GGTATGGTGTCATATTCCTCTTCATGGAAAGTGAGGTCCATTTCGACCTTTCTCAGGGAGTTCTTGATCTTGGTAAGCACATCCAATCATGTCAGATAGTTATTTATTACTTTATTCAGATTCTTTGATTCTTTTTGTGGACCATCTTGCTTCTTAGTCTTTCTTCACAACTGTTAAGAAAATATTTGGCATGCTATTTCACAACAGCTTCAATTATTATTATTTTTTTTTACCATCCCTTGACATAAAGGAGCCACATGCAGGGCATCAGAAACCCTTTTTCTCCCACATAACCATTGGACCAAGATATCTACCACTTGAAGGGTAGTACCTTTGAATTCCTTGTTAAACAAAGGATTCAAGTCTCTAATTTCAGATATCTAAGTTTTATGGCTGGAAAGTTCGATGATAATGAACAGACCAGGGTATGAGGGGTAGTATTTGCACCATTGCCTTCCACGAGGGGCAAGACATAGCACTGAATCAATCAACAAGACCTAGAATGCAAGAAAGTGGGAAGGTCAGAGGAGTGGGTTCTGGCAAACTGGAACAAGAGTTATGAAGATTTTTTTGTGGAGCTTGGCAGAATAAGAGCTGTAAGGCAGTCAAAGGATGAAATTCAAATGATTGATTATTGGAATGATTCCTTCTTGAAGGGAGTTATGATTAAAACACTTCTTTTTCCCATTGTGTTGTATTCTTTGTATAGGGGGAGAAAAATGTTTCTTGGTGCCCTGTATGACAAGGTTCCTTACATTCAATTGCCAGTGAACATCCTCATACCTTTTCCCTTCCCTTAGGCATCACACTTGTCACAATTGAGAGCAGTTATTTTTGGACAACATATGGAAGTGAAAAATGCACAAAACAGTTAGAGGTATACATCTAGAGCTATACCTAGTTCTGCCATAAATACTGTTACAAGATTTACATGTTCCTTGTGTTCTAGCAAAAGAAGCTAGAATATTGTAACCTAGTAATCCTACAGTGTATTATCCACCGTATTGTTTGGTAATATTTTGGCTGTTGTGTTGCGAGCAGTAAACATGGAGTGGGGTGACAAAGAGAATTGCATAGCAGTGATTGTCCTGCACAAAGTGGGTCAGAAACCTGCAACCATTTTCAAGACTTTGCAGCCACTTGGAATCAGTCGGCAGTTTGTTTACCGAGCTATCAAACGATACAGATACTCAGGGAGTACGAGACCGCCCTAGATCTGGACGTCCATGCACGGACTGAACACCATGAGTCATCAAAGCAGTTAACAACAGGATTTGGTTAAATCCTCTCAGCAAGCAGAAAGTGATGGCATGAGAAATGGCCATCTCGACTAGAAGCATGTCTCAGTTGATTAAATCAGACCTAAGGATGGGTGCTTACCGAAGAAGCACAGGACACATGCTGACTCCATCTCTGAAAGAAATCAGGTGGTCGCGATCGAAAGTGTTGCTGCAGAGGTATGCACAAAACAGACACCTCAAAATCCTCTTTACTGATGAGAAAATCTTCACAATTGAAGAAAAATTCAACCGGCAAAATGATCAAGTGTATGCCCACAGCTCTCTTGAAGCTGCAGAATTCATCCATAAGGTGAAGAGAGGTCACCATCCTGCTTCCATCATGGTTTGGTGGGGGATGAACTATGAGGGTGTCACCAAGCTGCATTTTTGTGAGCAAGGAGTGACAACATCTGCCAAGGTGTACCAGGAAGACATCATAGAGAAGACAGTGAAGCCTCTCAGCCAAGCAATGTTCAATGGGGGCAACTGGATCTTCTAGCAAGACTCTGCCTCTGCTCAAAAGGCTAAGATAACATAGGAGTGGCTAACCAACAATGTCCCTGAGTTCATCAAGGCCTCAGATTGGCCATCTGGGAGTCCCGAGTTGAACCCACTGGGCTACAAACTGTGGGCAGAGTTGGAGCTGATGGCCTGCACAGAAGACATCCAAATATTGAAAGTCTCAAGTGAGCCCTTGCAAAATCAGCAGCCAATATCTCAATGGACATGGTGCTTACTGCGATCGATGAGTGGCCTGATCGTTTAAAGTCATGTGTGAAGGCCAATGGTGGAATTTTTGAATAATGTTTCTGTAATCTGTTGGTAATTATGTAGGGGAATAAATACTGTTAGCGAATACAGCATATGTTTTATATTAACAAAGTTATTATTAAAAAATCTTGTAACAGTATTTATGGCAGGACTAGGTACATATGGGAACAATGGGGTCCAATATGTGTTACCCTGTTGCAGACAATCTTATTGTAAAATCACTTCTCTTTCTTGAGCTTCTACAGGCAAAGATATTGCAAATTGGAGCTTAACTATGGAAAAATGTGGCAAAAGGGAAAAACAGTTCTGAAGTTGTTGCATAAGAACAGCTCATTGGAAGCATTGATGATGAATGAAGACATTGATTGAATCATCTAAATCTTACCTTCTCAATATATAAACCTTCATGAAGCATAGTGTATAGTAAGAGTTTAAAGCTTGTTTTTGCCTTATGGAATAAATGGGATGAAGAATGTCAAGAAAAGTGAAAGTGCAAAATTCTGACCATGTGAATTTATAGGATGCCACATTTTTCAGAAATGAATTATAGCACTCCTTTCTTCATTTTGATTTACTGTCAAAGTATGAAAATTGTACTGTTTGCTAGCTTCTAGTTCATTCAGTAGTATCACTTTAATTCTTTCACAATGTCTGGCTCCTAGGAAGTATCCTTTCATCTCTCATGTAACTTACTGCCCATTCATGCACTTACACTAGTAAAGCCACTTTATCTAACCTTTCTAATTTGTAAAGCCACTCTATGTAATGCCCTAAATCCTGCATTGCTTTTACATATGCCAAATCTTATAGAATTTATTTTTTATAAGTCCATGGTGGTTAAGCCCCATATTCCAGTTGAGAAATGTCTGGTTATTATTCACAAGGTTCCTCTCCAGTATGCATCTACCCCTCTCTTCTCAAAATTCATTGGCTTTATCTATCCAAACTCATCATCTTGGAAATTACTTCATTTACTAAGATAATCATGCAACAAAATTTCTTGAATTGGAAGTGCTCTCATAGTCTTTATACTACTGTTAGAATCCATTTCTTTGTTTCCTCTGTATCTAGATAATTATTCCATTATGCCCCTAAAGCTTGGAATCAAGAGGTCCCATTTTCACTTTGTGACTCAATTGACTTTTGGCTTCCCATATGCCTGAAACAAGCACTTGTCTCTACTGTACCACACTTTGCTCCCTGTGTTCACCTGAAATTAAATCTAGATATCAGTTCTGTTTCCTCACAGTTGCCTTTCTATATTTCCTGTTGCAGTGTATATCATTGTTGATGGTCTAAGCCTTTATGCTATCATGTCTTTCAGTTGTTTATAGATGGTGCATGTGTATCTCATCTTTTATTTTGTGTCATCTAAGTTGCCTTTTCATTCACTTCTTTATTTTATGTGCTACCTCATGCTTCGATTGTGATGGGCATATTGCATGTTTTGTCACTAACAACCTCTGGAGTGGTAGCTTTAAAACAATATAGGAAAGCTTGGGAACAAATGCTCAATGTCCAGTCTGCTTTTTTGTTAGTGCTTCATTCTAATGTGTTTGATGTTGAGAGACAAACCCATGCCTGGTTTTTAGAGACATTTGAAAGATGGCAAATTTTGGGGTGAAAGTCTCAAAAGTCATTCTTCTGGCTTCCCATCCCTTTTAATTCTTATAGTGCCAGAGCCGATTAGAGTGATGCTATGAATTTCATTGAAAAAGACCAGTGTTGAAGAGCTGACAATTAAAGGGTTAAGAAATGTTTCTAGTCTGAGCATTCAATCGAGTTCCTTCTTGAACTTTGGATGTTTTACTGCCAGCTCTTTGACTCTGGCATTTTGAAGTGATATTTGTAGCATTGCTGTAAGCAACTCTGGCACTATAAGGGTTAAACTTGCAAGGTCTTGATCACTGCCAGGTTTTCCAGTGAGTAGTTCAGCATTGCTTTTTTTTTAAATAAAAATATTATGGGTAAAGGGAGAAGCATGTCTTAAAATATTGATGCAGAAAAAAAGTGTTCTTATTGGCAGCAGCTGTTGCTGCTTCAGTTCAAGTGACAGCCAGGGATTGTTGCAACAGTTTTCTGAATGGAGGTGACCATTTTCATCCTGATTAAACAAAAAACTTGTAATATCATAACATATAATGTTATATCTGTTGAAATAGAGTTGTTTCATGTATGCCTAGAAGCTTACTCAAATCAAGGCACTGCAGCCTGATTTACAGCATGTAAAGGACAATTGTTTGGTCTTTTTTGAGACACACAATACTTTTACAGTGTGTGTGCATCCCATATTTGGTGCACATATTCTTGCATCCATCATAGGTTGTGACATTGAACGCAATAGGCATATCAAGGCTCTCACACACTCACACTCTTTGCATCGGTGCCTTCAAAGAACACCTAATCTTGAGATTAGCTTGCAGCATAATTAATCTAATATTGTATGAAGGTTTTGCATTGATTGATTCAGGGAATGGAAAAAAACTTGATTTAATTGCCACATAAATATTTTTCAATGCTATTTCTTTCTTCAAATCATATTGACAGGGAGGCAGGGACCAGTCGTGGAGAGACAACTATGAGATATCATACAGTATCCCGACTGAAATTGCTTGATGACCAATCTGCTGCCATATTTGGAGTTCGTGTAGAAAATTCCAAAGACTCCTCATATTCATTGGAAGGCATGTTGGAAATCCTTGCATCCAAGGTCCAAAGCTTGAGATTTTTTGGAACTGGGATAACACCACAAATTAAAATTAGATTCACTACAGAACCTGGGAAGAGAGGGAATTCATGTGATGAGGCAGAGTCCTCAGGAGTCTTCCAGGTATGTTGATATTAGTTAATAAGCCTTTCTTTTTTTCTGTGCTTCTGCTTGATCAAATATTTTTCTTTACCTTTCTTTGTAGTTTCTGACAAATACAACCTCATCATATTCTGGTGTAGCAGAAGTGAAGTTGGATCATCTACCTGATGATGCTGAGGCTTACTACATCTGTGTAAAAGGCAACAGTCCAAGTGAACCTACATGGATCCATCAGGGTGATGAGATTGGAGTCAAAATTGGGACATACGTCAAGCTTGTACCCATCTGGTTGAACATCCTCGGCATTATTTTCCTACTCCTCTTTTCAGGACTTTTATCAGGCCTGAACCTGGGACTTATGGCTCTTGATCAAACAGAACTGAAAATCGTTTCCAAAGTAGGAAATGAGAAGGAAAAGCATTATGCTGAAGTTATATTACCTCTGAGGCACTTGGGAAATTACCTTCTATGTTCTATCCTTTTGGGAAATGTGGTATTAAATTCTACATTGACTATCCTGCTGGATGATCAATTGGAAGGCTTAATAGCAGTTGTTGTGTCATCCTTGGGTATCACCATATTTGGAGAGATTCTTCCTCAAGCAATCTGCTCTCGCTATGGGCTTGCCATAGGAGCTTGGACCTCATGGATAACAAAAATTGTGATGGTGCTCACTTTCCCCCTGTCATTTCCCATCAGTAAAGCGCTTGACTTGGTCCTTGGTGAAGAGATTGGAAATATTTATGACCGTGAACGTCTCAAGGAACTTTTACTGGTGAGTGTCTATTGTATGAATAATGGACACAGGTTTTCATATTTGCTAGAATAAGATAAGCTAAACTTGCTTTCCATTGATGCATAAACTAAGATGGGGCAAAATGTGTAGTTTTATTCATGGATTAGGAAATGAAACTGCAAATGTCTTCAAGGCTTGCATAGAACTGGAAGGATTAAGATCAAACTGTCAGTTCACCCCCTTCCTTAACCCTTTCACTGTTATGCTAGTACAGGGTGGCCACAAAGTCCATGAAAAAAAAAAGATAATGTACCTCTATTCAAACAGCTCCATGTGTTGCCCTCCATTCTCTGCACACAGCTGGATTCGTGCCCAAGTTCTTCTTGACATATTCTCCAAAGTGGAAGGCTGCATACTGTTAAAAGCAGTTCAGGACAGCTATTTAGAGTTCCTAAATATTTGTCAGTCATTTGTCATACATGTTGTTTCGAGGTCCTGCTCTTGCAATTGTGAATTCTCGCAAAAGAAAACAAACCACGTTTGCAACATGTTGATATATGTCATGTGATTAACAGTTCCTTCGAAAAAATATGGACCAATCAAGTGATTTGTGGAAATGACTGCCCATATCATGACATGGATGGGTGCTGCTCAATTTCCATGGAATAGTGAGAGTTTTCTTTGCACCATAAATAAACATTTCTGGTCCGATTGCACAGGTAAATTGCACACCTATCTAAGAAGAAAACATTTCGCTGTGCCTGATGAGTGGGGCCAACGTTGTAACAGTGCCTAGCAGGCAGCTTCATGCACATCTAAGTCTCTCTCACATAGCTGATTGACATGTCCAACAACATTGAAAAATAATATTTCATGTAAAGGGACTTTGTGTCCACCCTGTATATCGGGTGTAGCAAAAAAAGCATCCTGTTTGATGCTTTATAAAACCCACTGTGGATGGTCTAGGTTCATGATGTTTTCATATCAAGTTGGAAATACCACAAAATTTGTTTTCTGAAAGTTTCGTATACCTAGGTTGTTGGAATAAAAACTGACAGTAGTTCAAAGTGAAGTCATAAAATGTACCCTTTCCATGCACGAGGTGGATGGAGTTTCACCACTGTTCGAATTATTTCTCTCCCTTGACACCATAAATACATCTGTTTGTGCCAGTTCTCATCATAATATTCTGCGTAGTATTGATTCTGATGCTACGATGTACGATAGTATTACTATTCTATGACGTGTAGAATACTATGACAAGGACATGATATACAAAGCAGTCTTTTCTATGACTTCAAGGAGGTTCAATTCTTAGTTCATAGTGCAGTGCATTTAAATCCAGTCAGACAATCATGTGACATCAATTCATAACCTTCATTACTACAGTGAGTGTGCATAATTCATATCAATACTATCTTTCATATAACTCACAAAAGCCTGAAATATACTGGCAAAGGAAACTCAACAGTCAAAGGGTTAAAGCCTGATGTGAGGATACTCAAGGACTGGAATTCTTCTTCACCTATTGACTTTTCTACATCATATGGGCCTAAACACTGGGGTGATGCAGAACTATTTGTAAGAGAAAGACATGGGAAAGTGAGACTTGGTGTGATTTGAGGCCAAGTGAGCTTTTGGTCTTGATATGATATGGATATAATATAATTCATAGCATAAAATCTTGACTTTTTTAGGCTGTAAGAAGGGTTAGCAAATGTGTAATGCCATTCAAATCCACATTTCTTCCAATTCAAAAGCAAAGCTTAATCTCAAAACGTTAAATTTTTTTCAGAGCCTGATTATTTTCAGAATGATCTGTAAGGGACAATGTAGCATTGTGTAAGTGATGGATTGCAGAACAGTGTCCTTTACTTTCAAAATTGAACCTTCATTCAAATACAACACTTCCCCCACTCATAGTTTGGGATTGGATGAAGTGAATATTTCTTATGTTTCTTGTGCTGCTACGGCTACTTCCAGTACAGTGCTGCAAACAATTGCTGTATGGACCTATCTAGTGGCAAAGAAAGAAGAAGGTTGTGACTTCCTTCTTGCATGAAAAATGCCCTTATATAAAATAATTTAAAGCCTTCATGTGGAGTATTTTAGAGCATTGAAAGGACCTCACAAAAGATTGTCCACCTCTGTCCAACAGCAAGGAAGCAAATGCCCATTTTATAATCCCCCAAAATTTGCAGGAATATATGGTAAAGGACTCCCTTTCAGGTTTCTCTGAAAATGAAGAAAATGTTCAAAATAACAGTGATGGTGATGCTGACTCAGACTTGAGCTTGGATGGAAGAAAAAGGATTGGAAGAGGTTTCTGGCCAGGATTTTTGTCCTTGAGACTTTTTTTTTTTTAAGTCTTATTCTTTGGAAGAACAAGAGGGGAAAAAGTAATATTATTTGTACATGTGCAGAGCATGAACTCTATCTTGGAATAGGAGGATAAAGCCAAGTTCATTGTTCTCAAAGGGAGTTTTCAAAAGCAATGCAGAAACCATCTTCAAAAGTTCCAGATAAAGAACATACAATCCAATTTCATAAGGTTTTTGGAAGACTTCTGTAATCAAAGTTGATCCATAAAGGTTGTGGGATTCAATTTGATTTCATATGCTCTTGAAAATTTTTTTGTGACTCTACAGGTAATATCAGAGAGCATCTGATATGCCTTCAAGCTTATTTTCAACTGCTCTAAGTGTGCCTGCGCAAAGCAAAGGTGTCAGTCTTCATGTCTACAAAATAAACTTTTTTTTAAGTCTGAGAATTTTCAGTTTGTCACCATCATGGGCTTTACTTTTGTGAAAGAGGTATGTGAATGATCATTCCTTGCTAAGAACTTTTTGACCCAGTTTCAGTTTCCCTCATTCTTTCCTTTAGGTGTTTCATTAACCTTGTAGTTCAGGTAGGCTTTTTCTATGATGCCTTTCATATTGCATATGTTAATTTTATTAAAATTAGGGCTGTCATGATAGGTTGATGCATTGATACCACTATTGATGGTTGGAGGTATCAGTTTTTCGACCATCGCAGTGTATCAGCAAAAGATTTTAAAGGGGAAAAGTCCTATTGAATTAAGGCAAGTACAGTACAATACAGTCCATCTAGGCCAGGAATGAAAGAATCCACTTGCCCTGGCCCTTGCTACTTCTTAATTCAGCCCTGGGAGGGTGCATCTGGGAATGATCTGCGGTTTGGAAGTGAATAAACATCTGCCAATATGGCTTCCAAACAACATGTTTCACTATCAAATGTGGTAATTTTTCTAAATTAAATGAGAGACATACAAAGGTGAAAGTTTGTATGTGGCTAAACACCTACCTCACTTTATTAATACTGAAGCTTGGTTCTTGATATGAGGGTTATATATTTTCTAATCCTGAGACTTTTCTGCCAAAAACCAGGTGAGTAATTTCAAGGATATCCACAAGGAAGAGGTAGATATTATTGCTGGTGCACTTGATCTAAGGAAGAAAACTGTCATTGATATTATGACCTGGTTGGATGATGTCTTCATGCTCCCCTATGATGCTGTATTGGATTTCAGTGCTCTCTCTGAAATACGAAGACAAGGCAAGCAAGTCACTTACCATTACATTTTTGTAGGTTTCATACTCTAAAGTTGTTTCCTATTGCAGGTTATTCACGGGTACCCATCTATGATGGGTCTCGTAACAACATAGTCTCAGTGCTTTATGTCAAGGACTTGGTGTTCATGGATCCTGATGACAACAAGCCACTGAAAACCTTGTGCAAATTCTACCAGAACCCTCTCTTCCTTGTGCTTGAGGATACCACTCTTGATATCATGTTCAATGAGTTCAAAGAAGGTAGTCAAAGACTTTTAGTATACCTTCTAAAATTGTAGCTTGTAAGTCTGAATCAATTGATTTGTTGATCTTCCCTTAGGCAGTAAGGGGCACATGGCATTTGTGCAACGTGTGAATAAAAATAGTGATAAGGATCCTTTTTATGAAGTTCTTGGGATTGTGACATTGGAAGATGTCATAGAAGAAATCATTCAGGCTGAGATCATGGATGAGACAGATGTGTTCAGTAAGTTGATGCCTCATCTTGCTGTTGTGTCATTTGAGAAATTAGGTCATTTAATTTAATCTCTGATGTCTTAAAAAATGAATATTCCCAAAAATCAACTTCTGTGATTTGGAATCTGGTTTTTAATTCTCCTGAGGATATCAAGTGGAAGAGAGCATAATCAGAGTAGCTTTTGATAATAAGGTTGGCAAGGCTTCATTGCTTAAATTTTTTGTAATTTTCACTTTTTGACATGGATATTAATGGTCATACTTGAAGCTGCTTTACATAATTGGACTTATTGGAATAAGTGGCATAATTGGAATAGAAAGTTTCATGTACCCTTCCAGTGAGGTATAGCTTTTTCTATGCTTTTCTCACTTCTTTGTGTCTCGTTAATCATCCTTTATTATCAAAGAGCCTTTCTCTCATCATCCCCACCAATATGCATTATGTGGGACTCATTTTGAACATAGGAATAAAAGGTAAAATGTGGAATAATTGTTACACAATTAGAAGGAAGAACCACACACATTGAACCATGTAATGGGAAAGAGTTGCTGGAGCATCCTCTGCACCTTTCTCTTGCTCTCATTTGGAAGTATATTATCTGATTGGAAAGAAAGTTCTCGGAATTTCTTGAATATCCAGTACAATTTTTTTCCAGAGCATGCTAGAATGTTCTGCGTGTGTTTATAAGTAGGTCGTGTCCTTCGGCATACAACCGTATATTATTACAGCCCTGGTGCTCTCCAGCCATGAACCAGCCCTACCCTCTTACTAAGGAGCAAGTTCGCCTGCTTCTTNGATTACATTCATGATTGAGATGATTTTGCTTTTAAATAAACTGGGTTGTAATAATTGTTCATGAAATTCCGAGAACTTTCTTTCCAATCAGATAACTAGGATTATGCTGATTATACTAATATCATAATATTTATTAATATTGTTCCTGTCATCAGTATGTCTGCATATCACAATATCACTAATGGGGTTCTTTGATGACCCACACTAGAGATTGGAGTACCTAGTGGCCAGAGGTCTTACATTCCAAATAGAATGAGGTTTATAGTCTGAAATAGATACATGCATTTGTTGAGTTTGAACCCAGGTTCCCTGCTACCGGAGCATAGCTTGTTTCCAATTGAACATCTGATCAGCTCCATATAGACCCCTACACTAACTCTTGGGAGTCCCAGGGATATTAATGGCTACTGTATGGTGCACCCAGCCATTTTTCAATAAAAACTTATTTTTACGTTTCTTTCTCTAAGCATGCATAACTTAAAAACACAGAAGATACTGAGAAGATACACAGAAGAAACTGAGAAGATACACAGAAGATACTGAGAAGATACACAGAAGGTACTGAGTTCAGATTTTCAGTTTTTCTGAGAAACACAGTATGTGCTAAGCTGGAGATCTCTGGTTCTGGGACAGAATGTGTTAATTCTAAATATTACCCTTTGCTGTTCTCATTTTAAAAACAGAAATAGAATAGATCCCATTTTCCAGGTGGGGATTTTCCCTGGAAGGAAGAACCAAGGGCCTTTCATGCACACCTACTGTTACAGTAAGCCATATATATGCTCTTGTTTGCAGCTGACAATCGTACTTGGAAGAAGAGGTTGCGAAATGAGCTCAAGCATGATTTCTCTGTCTTCGCTCACCCTCGATATGTTCATAGTGTTCAGATTCCACCTCAGCTTGCTGTTGCAGCCTACCAATTCCTTTCAACATGTGAGTGCCTCCTGTATTTCACTTTGAGGATTCAGGCTTCATGGCAATTTCTATCATCATTCTTATCCCTTTTTCTCTGATGGGAAGCTGTGGATGCTTTTAAGCCATCCTTGATATCAGACCGGATCTTGCAGCAGCTGATCAATCTTGATGTGGCCCGTCAGATAAAAGTACCCAAAGATGGATCTTTGAATCCTGATGATGACACCTGCATCATTTACCAGAAGGTATGCCACTGCTTCTTAAATGACATATTCCTTTTGATTTCATTGTCCTTTACAGCTTGGAGAGATTCATTGATATTTCAGGGAAAGCCAGCTGACTATTTTGTGCTCATCCTTGAGGGCAGAGTGTCTGTTCTGGCCACTCAAGAGAACCTGACTTTTGAGGCTGGGCCTTTTACTTATTTTGGCACCCAGGCACTTACTCTTAGTGAGCTCATCTATAATATTCAATTGCAGTGTTGTATTTTAAGCATTTGGTTTAAATGGAAGGACTAATTATCTTGATGCGATTGTATCATGTCAGATTTAGAATCAGTGTCATCTATTAACGGGCCATCAGCAGAAAGGATGATGTCCAACACACCTGATGGAACAGTATCAAGTATCACTGGATGGACAACCAGCAATGTCCTATCTCTACCCAGGCAGGAATCTTGCTCCAGTAACTCATCTTACCGGTTCCCTCTGTCACGGCAGAATTCACAGGTAGCATGAGTATTCTATCTTCTGTGACATAAAGGTGGCTGATACGATGAAAACAATGTTTGAATGCCCCTTTAACCTCTTCATCTTCAGATTACCTTTGTCCCAGACTACTCTGTGAGAGCTGTGACAGATGTTCTCTACCTTTCCATCAGACATCTGTTATATCATGCTGCTTTCCAGGCCTCCATTCTGTACAGTCAGAAGAAAGAAGAGGAGGCTGTGCAAATAGAATCCGCCTTAGAAAAGGTTTACTGAAAACCAGGTTGCCTCCTGTAAGAATGCTAGTCCTATCCAATCATGCATATTTTTATTGCTTCAACAGATTTCAAAAGTTGGAGAAGACCGCTGTTCATCTCCACGTTCACCCCTTGTTAGGAATGAAGACATGAAATCGCCTCAAGATTCCAGTTCCAGCAATGGCCATTCACCTATCTTCACTAACTCTGTGGCAGGGAATTTGTAATCTGAGATACTTATTGCCATCAAAGTAACATGCCATGAGCAAGAATTCTAAATTTCATATGAAGGTAGAAAATTCATTAGGAAAGTCTGGTCTTGAAAATGACATTAACTCCCTGTGACTGCTAAGTGATTCTTGATGATCAATTGGTGAACCCTCTTTTTTCCACCATCATGCAATTTACTTGTGGTCACAGGATAATCTGAGTATCCCTTCTTTCCATCTCCATCCCCCTTCTCTATTAGTCTGCATATATGAGCAACTGGAATCTAACCACTTAGCTTGTCCTAATCCTCCTGATACATAGAAAAGTCCTTTATGGAGATCTGAAATGTGCTGCTCCTATTAGGGATACATTTAGAGCTTCAGCATCACATTCATGATGTTTTAAAAGCTGACAAGCTTGAATTTTAACTGTGCGATGGAGATCATATGCAATCATGCTGATCTTAATGGTCATCCTCTATGGCTTCACTCTGCATTATTATGAAACACATCGGAGCAGCTTAATTAAGAACACTGTTGAGCTTTGTTGATCTATTTTTATAAATTTTATTTTTTTTTGCATTGGATTTCTAAATAATTTTATATTTTTATTCAAAGTTCAGTTTCCTCAGATGTAGAAGCTGAAAGCTATTGCTAAAACTAGCTAGTCATGAGCATAGTTAAATGAGTAGTTACACTAGTCCAGCAGTGACATGTGCTAAGTTTTTCAACCAATCAACTTAACTAGTCTTAAATTGGTAGTTGTGCTTGGCTTAACTAGTGCTAACACTATGAAACTGTTTTCAGTTAATCCCATATTGCTGACACACTGATGGCAACTTAGTGTGAAAAGAGATGAATGCAACATACTCCAGTTAACAGAATGGATCACCAACGATCAAAACTCAAATAGAATCAAGTACAACCAGGAGAGAGATGTGCAGAGTTTCTGTGATACAAGGGGCTAGGCTTTGTTAGCATATCTTGCCACACCAAGTCTGTTCCTGTCCTTGCCACAACATTTGTCCCAGTCCAGATTTTCAGAAGGCTTGTAGGCAAGTTGCATTGTCATTGTTAGAAGTGTTGGAGTGTCCCAAAATTGATGCTATTGTTTTTTGTTCTGGGGAAGGTGTTCATGGGATACTTATTGTCATGAAATATATACTTATTTTAAGTGCCCTGTCATTTTTCTTCCTCATTATAGTCTTGAAGGATGAATGAAACTAGTAGTGAAAATAGTAGGTAGAGATGTCCAGCAGTGAGATCTACTTGATTTCTTGACAAATTCTTGTAATGAATGACAGAGGAAATTATTTTCATGCAAAAGGGGGAATTCCTGAGTACTGAGTGACAGTTTGAGTACCATAGAAATGTAACATGCACATTGCCTCCTCTCCTGAGTCTCCACTGTCGAAAGTGGTCAGTCACTAATTCATATACCCAGTGTTGGGCGGTAACGAAGTAAAAGTAACGCGTTACAGTAACTAATTACTTTTTTCAGTAACTTTTGAGGTAACGAGTTACTTTTCAGAG